CATTTGTAAAACAATTTTCGGGGATTTAAAGGGTGAAGGGGTAGACAAAAAAGGTTGGGGAAATTTTTTTAAACTGTATTTTCCTCTTTTACTATCCCCTTTTTTCTGCATTAGTTTGCTTGGAAAGCTTAACTACCCTCTAAAGATCTGCTGAAGTGTCAAATGATAGCGGGCCCAAAATTTTTTAATTTTTTGGGAAAATGTTTTTTTTTTGGTAAAAAAACCCCAAGGCGCGCGCCTGTAAAAAAAATCTCAATTTTTGGGCATTTTTGGGTTTTCCCCATTTTGCCCCAAAAATGCAGATTACACATCTAAACCTCTCACTCTACGGTCCATTCGTTAAAAAAATTGCCCTGGACCAAGGTGAAGGGGTGGGAAAACCCCAAAAGTTGTTGGGGGAAATTTTTTTTTGAAATCTGTTTTTTCCTCTTTTTTGCCTTCCCTTTTTCTGCCTCATTTGATTGAAATGCTACTCTTCCTTTAATTATCTGCTGGTGTCTGTAAACAATTGTCTGGGACTCAAGGTGAAGTGGTAGGACACCAAAAGTGGTTGGGGAAATTTTTTTGTAAAATCTGTTTTTTCCTCATTTGACTATCTCCTTTTCTGCCATCAGTTTGCTTGGAAATGCTCAACTACTTCTCTAGAGTATCTGCTGAAGTGTCTAATGATAGACTGAGGCCAAATTTTTAACTTTTGGAAAATGTCAGTTTTTGGCTGAAAAAACCCCACAGGCGCGCGCCTGTAGAAAAATCTCAATTTTGGGCATTTTTAGGCTATCTCCATTTTTGCTCCAAAATGTCAGATTACACATCTAGATTACCTACTCTACATCTACAGTGTCCATTCATGTGTAAAACAATTGTCTGGGACTCAAGGTGAAGTGGTAGGACACCAAAAGTTGTTGGGGAAATTTTTTGGTAAAATCTGTTTTTTCCTCATTTGCCTATCTCCTTTTCTGCCATCAGTTTGCTTGGAAATGCTCAACTACTTCTCTAGAGTATCTGCTGAAGTGTCTAATGATAGACTGAGGCCAAATTTTTAACTTTTGGAAAATGTCAGTTTTTGGCTGAAAAAAACCCGACAGGCGCGTGCATGTGGAAAAATTTCAATTTTGGGCATTTTTAGGCTATCTGCATTTTTGCTCCAAAATGTCAGATTACACATCTAGATTACCTACTCTACATTTACAGTGTACATTTATGTGAAAAAAAATTGTCTGGGACTCAAGGTGAAGTGGTAGGACAATAAAAAGTTGGGGAAATTTCTAAGAAAAATCTGTTTTTTTCCCCTCGTATGCCTATGTCCTTTTTTGGAACCAATTTGCTCCAAAATGCTCAATTACTCCTCTCAATTATCTGTTGAAGGGTGAAATGATAGTCTGAGAAAAAATTTTAAACTTTAGGAAAATATCAGTTTTTGGGTGGCAAAACCCGACAGGCGCGCCTGCGGAAAAATCTTAATTTTGGGCATTTTTAGGCTATCTCCATTTTTGCCTCTAGTTTGCTCCAAAATGTCAAATTACACATATTGATAACCTATTCTACATCTAGAGTGTCTATTCCTGTGTGAAAACAATAATTTTGGAAAAAAAATTTTTTTCAAGAAATGTCTTAGTAAAATCTGTTTTTTCATCATTTTCCTATCTCTTTTTCTGCCACCAGTTTGCTCCAAAATGTTTAACTACTCCCTTAGAGTATCTGTTGAAGTGTGAAATGATAGTCTGAGATAAAATATTAGTGATGAATATTTTAGTGATGATGATGAAACACACTGATATAAGTGAGGATACTGATGATGATGACACTGAAACTGATGTCAGTAATGATGATGAAACTGATGACAATGTTAGTGATGAAGATATTAATGTTGATGATGATGATGAAACTAATACTGATATTTTTTATGATAATGATGATGATGAAACTGACACTGACATTAGTGACGATAATGATGATGATGATGAAACTGATGTTGATATTTTTTATGATAATGATGATGATGAGACTGACGCTGATATTAGTGATAATAATGATGATGATGAAACTGATGATGACAGTGGTGATCATGAGGAAACTGATGATGTAAGTGATGATAATGATAATGAAATCGATGCTGATGTCAGTGATAATTATGAAACTGATGCTGATATTAGTGGTGATAATGACAATGATGAAACTGATGCTGATATTAGTGGTGATAATAATGATGATGAAACTGATGATGATGATAGTGATGATAATGATGATGAAACTGACGATGATGTTAGGATGATCTGAGGGAATAACCTTAACAACTGTAGATTAACCTTTACCATGAAAGTTAAAGCCCTCCTCCATGTACAACCCATGCAAGCTTATGTTGGTCACAATCTTCGTCAAGTGGCCTCCGATGCTGAAATAAACAAAGTCTAATGTTTGACCTCTGGTGCCACAGATCTAGATAAAACACTGTGGTGTTTACAGACAGGCTTTGACAACAGCGCCGGACGTAAGTCACTTGTTTAGAATTATTATTTAACCCTTTCAGTCCCAGCCATGTGTTATTTTAACTACCTTACTTCAACTCATTCAATAAAATGAATTGTTACTTTCACCGGCTGTAAACTCTGGTTGAAAGTTCTGGTTGTTCAACCACTTCTGGACTTTTGTCTTTTTCCAGAAATTAGGTTTTGCGTGCACCACCGTTTTTTATAGCTCTGGCTTATTTTTATGGGAGCTTCCTCGCCTCTCAAGCAGATGCGCTTTGGCTTCGAAAGAAACACCCCTAATCAGTCACTTCTATGAAATGCCTGTGGGGGGGGGGGGGGGGGAGGGGGCAGCCCTTTCCAAATGGGGCCCAGAACCCAAAAGGACTTGTTACTTTAATTTATCCTACTTCAAGTTGTTACTTAATTAATATTAGAGTCTAGGGATTAAAATAATAATAATATAAGACAGAAGGAGTTGAAGGAACAGTTGAAACTCATTTGGTTAATTTAACAACTGGATTGACCACTGGAAACATTTGTGGAAAACAGAGACAAAGGAAAACAGTGTGAGAAGATTCTTGACAGCTTTTTGCCATAGTATGAAGGGGGGTCAGCACCACAAACTGAAACATGCTGTTGGAGAATGCAGATTCTGGAGCGGAATGCTGCCCACGCAGGTCAGCAGAGTACTTAATGATTATGATGACAACTTGTACAGGGATCCTCCCATTTTCTGCCCTTATCTAAGAATACTAGGTGCCCAGGCCACTAGCCCCAGGATCAGGAAGGAAAGAGACTACCATCCTCAGAGGTATCACAAATCGAATCATGGTCTTCAACTGACAATCAATGTTGACTGACAATATTCAGCAATCAAGTGTGTCTCCTACCTGACAGGTTGTGTGGAGACAACAGGCTTTTCTGGGTCCCCCTGGGGTATCAGTGTTGACCTACATACCATGCTGGACAGTGACTTGAGCTGGTTCTGTATCTGCAACCACAACAATATATTATATGGAAATCAACAAACTTCTTTGTGTCATCTGTAGATATAGAAATCTCAACAGTTTCCTTATTTATTTTTTTTAGAAATCATAGCAATATTGTCTAATTTCTTAGAAAAAAATTTATTTCTTTAGAAATTCCACCATAGTTTTCTTTTCCTGTAAAAACAATAATTTAATTGCCATCTCCACAAAAAACTTCAACTATTGTGCACCCACTGCTGTCTTTGGGAATATTATGTGCTGAGGCTCCAACCTCTTGTACTACCATCTGAGAATGACCTTTTTTTTTTTTAAATATATAAATAATCCATCCACTGCAAAAACTTGAACCCCAGCACTCGGGAATCATTAAACTGTTAAATTAATAATGAATTAGGAGTAGGATAAGAGGAGGAGGAGTAGGACAAGAAGTAGGACTAGAGGAGTAGGACTAGAGAAGTAGTACTAGAGGAGCAGGACTAGAGGAGTAGGACTAGAGGAGTAGGACTAGAGGAGTAGTCCTAGAGGAGTAGGACTAGAGGAGTAGGACTAGAGAAGGAGGACTAGAGGAGTAGGACTAGAGGAGTAGGACTAGATAGATGGAGGACTAGAGGACTAGAACTAGGAGTAGGACTAGAGAGTAGAGTAGGACTAAAGGAGTAGGAACTAGGACTAGAGGAGTAGGACTAGACTAGGAGTAGGACTAAAGGAGTAGGTAGTAGACTAGAGGAGTAACTAGGAGTAGGACTAGAGAGAGTAGGACTAAAGGAGTAGGACTAGAGGAGGAGGACTAGAGGAGTAGGACTAAAGGAGTAGGACTAGAGGAGTAGGACTAAAGGAGTAGGACTAGAGGAGTAGGATTAAAGGAGTAGGACTAGAGGAGGAGGACTAGAGGAGTAGGACTAAGGGAGTAGGAGGACTAGAGAAGAGTGGGACTATAGGACTAGAAGGGAGGACTAGAGGACTAGAGGAAGAGAACTAGAGGAGTGGGACTAGAGGAGTAGGACTAGAGAGTAGGACTAGAGGAGTAGGACTAGAGGAGTGGGACTAGAGGAGTAGGACTAGAGGAGTAGGACTAGAGGAGTAGGACTAGAGGAGTAGGACTAGAGGAGTAGGACTAGAGGAGTAGGACTAGAGGAGTAGGACTAGAGAGTAGGACTAGAGGAGTAGGACTAGAGGAGTAGGACTAGAGGAGTAGGACTAGAGGAGTAGGACTAGAGGAGTAGGACTAGAGGAGTAGGACTAGAGGAGTAGTAGGACTAGAGGGAAGGACCTATAGGAGTAGGACTAGAGGAGTAGGACTAGAGGAGTAGGAAGGAGTAGGACTAGAGGAGTAGGACTAGAGGGTAGGAGGAGAGAGAGGACTAGAGGAGTAGGACTAGAGGAATAGGACTAGAGTAGGACTAGATGAGTAGGACTAGAGGAGTAGGACTAGAGGAGTAGGACTAGAGGAGTGGGACTAGAGGAATGGGACTAGAGGAGTGGGACTAGAGGAGTTGGACTAGAGGAGTGGGACTAGAGGAGGAGGACTACAGGAGTGGGACTAGAGAAGTGGGACTAGAGGAGTGGGACTAGAGGAGTGGGACTAGAGGAAGAGGACTAGGACTAGAGGAGGAGAACTAGAGGAGTGGGACTAGAGGAGGAGGAGATGAAGAAGTAAAGGTGGCAGCCATACTGTTGATCACAGCATAATATTGCATGAAAAATGGAACCTTTATATGCATGTTAGTTTTAAAAAAATGAAGGCCTGGCTCACTAGCTCAGATGGTTCAACCTGACTGTGCGGCAACCTGGTGACAAACTTATGGTGGTCTGAGTTCACGCCCTTGATTGGCAGAAAAGCCACATTTATCTCAGATTTATGGTATCTATCATGGAATCAAGGCCAACGGGTTGCGATATCCATAGTACTGAGCCTTAGGGTTTACAACTCATGGTTTCTGGATACTTAAAAAAAAAAAAAAAAACAAAGAACAAGTACAGCAGAAAGCATGCATGCAAGCATACATAAATATTTAAAAAATATTTAAGTTGTTTGAATGCAAAAGTTCCAAAATCTTTATGATTAAACACAACAACAAAACAACTGAAAATTTAATCACATAAGATCACTGCAATGAAGTAATTAAATATCTGATAGAGTGGGCATCTCAAAAATAGGCTCTCAACCTGGGCCTGGCTAACATAGACAGGATCATTGTTTCCTTTGAAATTGGAGCCTAGTTGGGGAGGAACCAACAGTCTGCCCACAAATAAGCCAACATGATGTGCATGCAACACCCAAGTCCTAGAACAATACCAAAGCCCAAAAGTGGATGAACAACCAGGACTTTCCCCAGAGTTTACATCCAAGGAACCTAAAGAAAAGAAAGAATGTTTGCTAGGATACTGGACTAAACACACTGTGGTTTTGCCATCTGCTAGACAATGACATTTCTGTGTGTTTTCTGTGAGATTTTAATTCTGAATAGCACAGCCTCACAGTGCCTTTTTTAGAGTTGTGCCATTGGTCACAAATTTAATTTCCTGTTAGATGGCTGGTTGTTTCATTGGTTAGTTGTTAGGCCAGTAAAAATGTGGCTGGTTGGTTGTTTGATTGGTAACTATGTTGGTTAGTTGCTTCGTAAATATTTTGGTTGGTAAACATGTAAGTTGGCTGTTTGGTTGGTAAAAATGTTGGTTGTTTGTTTCACTGACTGTTTGGTTAGATGGTTCCAAATCTTCTGCATAACTGAGTCTGAACTCTTATTAACTGTTTCAGTACATTACTGTTCTGCAAGCAGACATCTAAAACGAAAAATAGCCACTGGAACGAGCAAGACATTTAAAGAAGCTAAATGTCCTCTGCTGCTGCTTCTTCTTCTTCATGGCAGGTTAAGGGATAGGGACCAGAAAGAGAGAGAGACAGAGAGACAGAGAGGAAACAGACAGAAGGCAGACAGGCAGGCAGGCAGGCAGGCAGGACAGACAGGCAGGCAGGCAGGCAGGCAGGCAGGCAGGCAGGCAGGCAGGCAGGCAGGCAGGCAGGCAGGCAGGCAGACATACAGCAGGCAGGCAGACAGGCAGACAGAAGCAGACAGACAGACAGACAAGACAGACAGACAGACAGACAGACAGACAGACAGACAGACAGACAGACAGACAGACAGACAGACAGACAGACAGACAGACAGACAGACAGACAGACAGACAGATAGATAGATAGATAGATAGATAGATAGATAGATAGATAGATAGATAGATAGATAGATAGATAGAGACAGATAGATAGATAGAGATAGATAGATAGATAGATAGATAGATAGATAGATAGATAGATAGATAGATAGATAGATAGATAGATAGATAGATAGATAGACAGATAGATAATGGATGCATGGATGGATGGACTGATGGAATGGATAGATGGATGGATGGATGGAAGGATGGAGAGAGAGAGAGAGATAAACAGAAAGATAGAGAGCCCTGTTGAATGGAAACAAAAGCTAGAGGATGCAAACCTGAAACATTGCTAGTCAAAACCAGAGTTACTGAGCCAGAGGCTTAAAGATTCAACACACAGTAGCTCATTTCATGATAATGATGAGATACTGTACTGTCAACAGTTCCCCTGTTTGGGTTATGGACTCTCATTTTGGAGTGAAAAGGAATACACCCATTGTCCCATTTAAAAACAACTCATAAAAGGCAGCTAATTAAGGGTGTTTTCTTTGAAGTTAAAATGTATCTGTCTGAGAGGCATGGAACGAACAGTCAGCTTACAAATAAAACAGATGGGCATGTAAAACTCCAGTTCTGAAACAAAGACAAAAGTCCAGAAGTGGATAAACAACCGGAACTTTTCTGTCGGAGTTAACAGCCGGTGAACAAAAAGAAGATGAAGAAGACTGTCAAGAGATTCCAGCCCAAAGCCATTTATTTCCTGCTGGCAAAAACCTTCTTAATTAAGACATCAAGCCCTTCACCAAAATGACAGAAAGCCACACAAGCCAACTAAGACCAAACATTGGAACATACTTTATTTCTGGAGACAATTTCTGGATCCTGAGTGTAAGATATGGTTAGAAGAAAAAAAAATATGTTAAATAATGCGGAGACAAACAATGCATTGCACAATTTATTGCCTGGCATATTTTGCTGTATCTCGTCAGCTGCATTACTACAGAGTTACATCAACATATAATGAAGCAACAACAAAACACAAAACAAACAAACTGAATTAATTTGTGATTTTATTATCTGTTGTTCCCGTGTGGGTTCTGGGGCCTTCTTATAGGGGAAAAAAAAAAGAATAGACCCAATGCCTGCCCAAAAGCAGGTCGTAAGAGTCGACTAACTGGGAGCTTCCTTCAAAGCTTGAAGTGTTGCACACGCAACACTTGGATTCTGAAACAGGACTGCAGTGCAGAAGTGGATGAACAACCAGAATTTTCTGCCAGAGTTTACAGCTGGTGGACGTGAAGAAGAAGAAGATTATCTGTGATGTAACTCTGTAGTAATGCCCCGATGAGATACAGCGAAATGTTCCAGGCAATAAATTGTGCAACGTATTGTTTGTCTCCTCATTATTAAAATTCACTAGGAGAAAAAACAGTTTTGAATTAATATGTTAGTCAACACCTCATGGTCTATATGTTACAGCTGAAATAATGGATAAGTAAGAAACAGTAAACTGAATATTTTAGTGTTGTTCTTTCTAATCACTACTACTACAGGGTATCTATTAAGTTTGCATACACAGAAGAAAAAACACATTTGCCTAAATCCATTATATGCACAACTCCAACTATGATTGTACATGTTCTACGGTAGTGGAGGATACACACTGAATGTTGTTTTTTCAAAACAATGGCAATCATGCAAAGCATATTATATAAATCAGAATGGTTTTCAACAACAACAACAAAGTTTATTTTTCCTATGGATGGAAACTTATGTTTTCACTAGGCATTTTTGTGCTAAACTTTCCTTTGAAGTCGGAGTGCATCTGCCTGAGAGGCAAGGAACCAGCAGTCTACATTCAATTGAATCAGATCTGTAAAACGGATGCACACGCAAAACTCAGGTTCTGGAGCAGGACTGCAGTCCAGAAGTGGACGAACAACCAGAACTTTACGCCAGAGTGTACAGCTGGTGAACGCGAAGAAGAAGAAGAAAGCAGGAATTTACAACATAACAACAGACTAGAATACAAGCAGTTAAAATAATAACAATACTAAATGGGTTAATGTTGAAGCTAATGGAATGCCCTAACACACATATTTGTAATGCTTTCATTTCAAAGGATATCCTTTTTTTTTTAATATTTTTTTTTTTCTGCTGCTTCTTTCTCCTTCCCTTTTTCTTACTTATTTTTCCCGTTCTTTCATCTTATTCTTACTTTCTTCTGTTCATCTTTTTTCCACTACTTTTTACCTCTTCTTCTTCTGGTACGCAACAGATATTAATAACAACAACTCTTCACGCCTCACCAACATTTTAATGAAGCCTATGATAATCATATGACCATTTTGTACCCAGATGTAATAATTTCCTTCATTCAACTATCTCTATTTTCTAAAGGAGTCATATTGCTAAAACAATAATATTCTCATAAGATTTATGGTGCCACATTGGGGGGGGGGGGGGGGGCACTGTCCTCTAACAAACAGGTCTTAACAGGTGATCTTATTAGGGATCTACTGAAAGTGGATGTGTTGGGCCTAAAGATGCAGTTATCGCAGCCTAGCTGTAAACCACAACACAAAGTGCCAACTGAAAGAAGAAGAAAAAGATCATGCAGACAATGAAGAAGAAGAAGAAGAAATAGTAGAATAAGAAAAAGAAAGAAGAAGAAGAAGAAGACAAAGAAGAAGAATAAGAAGATGAACAAGAGGATAAACATGAAGATGAAGAAGAAGAAAAAGAAGAAGAAGAAGAAGAAGAAGAAGAAGAAGAAGAAGAAGAAGAAGAAGAAGAAGAAGAAGAAGAAGAAGAAGAAGAAGAAGAAGAAGAAGAAGAAGAAGAAGAAGAAGAAGAAGAAGAAGAAGAAGAAGAAGAAGAAGAAGAAGAAGAAGAAGAAGAAGAAGAAGAAAAAGAAGACAAAGAAAAAGTAAAAGAAGAAGAAAAAGAAGAGGAAGAAGAAGAAGAAGAGGAAGAAGAAAAAGAAGAAGAAGAAGAAGAAGAAGAAGAAGAAAAAGAAGAAGAAGAAGAAAAAGAAGAAGAAGAAGAAGAAGAATAAGAAGAAGAAGAAGAAGAAGAAGAAGAAGAAGAAGAAAAAGAAGAAAAAGAAGAAGAAGAAGAAGAAAAAGCAGAAGAAGAAGAAAAGGAGGAGGAATAGGGAGGAAGTGAAGAAGAAGAAAAACAACAATAAGGTACAAAACAAACAAACAAAAGACAACATGTTCATGCAGCAACAAACATGTGACTGACCACTGACTGAGAAGTTATGTTGTTAACACACAACGGCAGGGCCTTGTTCCCACTGTTACACAGGGAAATGTTAAAGCTATGGTAGTACTGTGTACCACTGGCAGTGAACAAGCGGGACCCAGTTACAGAAACCACACTGCGAAAGAAAATATTTCATCAGTTGAGGATAAGTAACGAATCATTTTGACTCACATGCAAAGGGGAGAAGGGGGAATATAATGAATCTTCTTATTCTTATTCTTCTTCATGTTCACCAGCGGTAAACTCCGACAGAAAGTTCGGGTTGTTCATCCACCTCTGGACTTTAAACTTGTTCCAGAATCTGAGTACTGCATGCACATCCACTTTACAGATCTAAATTATTTGTATGCAGACTGTTGGTTCTTTGCCTCTCTTGCAGATGCACTCTGACCTCAAAGGAAACCCCTAATTAATCAACTCTTATGACATGCTTGTTGGCGGGGCAGTGGGTCTATTCTTGTTTTTCCAACAATGGGGCCCCGGAACCCACACAGTGAAGATAATGTATCAAGTCTTCTTCTTAGCATTCACCCGCTGTAAACTCTGGAGGAAAGTTCTAGTTGTTCATCCCCTTCTGGACTTTAATCTTAGATCTGGTTTACTTGTATGCAGGTTGTTGGTTTCTGACCTCTCAGGCAGATGCATTTGGACTTTGGAGGGAAAATCCAAAATTAGTCACCTTTCGTGAACTGCCCGTTAGGGAGCAGTGAGCCTCTCCTTTTTCCCCAAAATTGGGGCCCCGAAACCCACAGGGAATGAACCAAGATACAAATGTACACAGTGTTCTTCTTACACTCCATGCAGTGTGGCACTGGTCATCATAACTGTTCACAGCCTTCTGCCTAATGTACTGTCAATCATTTCTGATACAGATGTTCTTCCAAGCAACGATGATGAGACTGGAGTCGTTGTCATAATGCCTTATTTGTCCTTTATGAATTTTATCAGAGCATACACACAAAATTTAGCTATTTTGGTGGCAACTTGCATTTTAGATTAAGCATTGTTAAAAGCAATGCCCTAGTGGTTTTCCTTAATGCAGATGTTTCAAACTGGTGCTCCATGGAGCTCTAGGAGGTTCACATGCATTTCAAAGGGGTTCTGTAGTTGCTCCAGAAAAATACTTTAAAACTGAATTACGTTAAAGATTCAGAAATCACTGGAAAAAAACAGTGAAATTTTAAAAATCTAAAAAATAGAAATTTTATTCTGAAGAGAAATTTGCCGCGTTAAATTTGGCACCTCCTCTAGCAAATGATGCTTTATGCTTCCACAAGCTCCAAAATGACTGGTCAGGTTCTCTGAGAGATTTTCAAAAAAGTGTTAAAGTACTGACTAACTGTTCCATGTTTCCCGCCGAAGTGTGCCATCATTATTAGGGAAACCATCCTGAATTGTAAGATAAACCATCAGCTATTTCAGAAGGAAGCACAATTAAACTTATGGAAAACTATGACAACACTCACTAAAACAAATGAGGTAGAGGGTATTTTTCAATAAAATGGATTCAAAACGAACGCTGTCATAAAACAGCTGCAAAATGAAAGGAGCTGGTCACATTAACCAAGAAAATAATTAACTATTATGTGCAAAAGATAGCAGCCAACACCCTAACCAGATTTATATAATGTGGGAACATTAACCCTACCAGACCTAAAACCCTGAACCTAACTGCCCCCTATACCTGAGCATTAACACAAAAAACCAACATGATATACACAAATATTAGTTACATGCAAACAAAAGGTTAGAATGGGATGAAACTTGGAGACATTGTAGATAACAGGTTTATCTTTCATCTAGAGCCAATATTCTACCTTTGTGTACCAATCCACCCAGCAGGATCAGCCTTGTTTCACAAAGTGAGCACCAGATGTTACTGTTTGAGGACACGCCCCCTTCTCTTACTATCTATCTAGTTTCAAATCTATAATTTTAAAGATTCTCCTCATCACTCAAGCTCTCACTGACTCTGTGACTTCAACTTGGAATGTATTCTTCACGAAATTCTGAATCCTCGATCACCTGGGACTGTGAAAAACCTAGATCTACTTCCCTTTCCTGTCCAAGTGCTTGGTTCATCAGCCGCTCGTTTCCTCTGTGAATTTTCCAAATTCTTTCATGTAAAACCACACAAAGTAAACCCAAACACACATGGGCAGTCAATTGCAATGACTAACCACGAGGTTTGATCATGACTGGTTTGATATTTTTAGTTTGTGATGCATTTTATCACGCAGTATGCAAAGTACCGAAAATTAGGTACAGCGGTTTAGCAGCAGATTAGGAATTTACCTGAAAAGCGGTACCGTGGTCTAGTAAAGTTAAAGCCAGCAGAACTTACTTGTCAAGCTCAGTGAAGTCAAAATCTCTGCCCAGATGATCCATAAAGTGACAGTCAGATCTGCATGACCGGCCCGCTTCTGGATGCAAGCCAGGGCCACAAGGTTTGCAGGAATCCTTGCCCCAAGAGTTGCTGCTGGGCAGAATTGTGCCAAATGGACAAGGCTCACAGCTTTGTGATTCTGGGTCCATATAATGGCCATCAGGGCATGGGATACATCTGGTCAAATAGATTAGAGAAACATAAATTAAAGAAGCAACATTCCCCGTGAGAGTTCCATGGCCCCATTCTATTGTGGTGGTGGTAGTGGTGGTGAGGAATAGACTTACTGCCCACTAACGAAAGTTTGTTGCCTATTCTTTACAGGACATTGCAGAACCAACCTCAGTATTTATTGGCTGTTGTGGTTTTTCTAGGCAAGTTTTACATTCTGTAGTTTGCCACTGTTCCTGAACGGTCAGTTCTCTGCACCTCTATTGAAACCAATGCAAGACAAATCATCTGCAGCTAGGATCAAACCCGGCATGCTATTATTACGAAGCAGGTTTGCAACGCCTCAACCAAAGACACCAACACGACAAGCAAATCGTAAAAAGCCGACTAATTAGAGGTTGTTTTTTTTTTTAAAAAGGGGTGTATCTGCCCAAGAGGCAATGAACCAAATGAACAAAAATAGAGCAGATCCGTAAAAAAAATCTGCACCCAAAACTCAAGTTTAGGAACAAGACTAAAGTCCAGAAGTGAAGAAACATCCAGAACTTTCCCTTGGAGTTTACAGCAGAGAAAGGCAAAGAAGAAGAGACAAGCAAGATAAACATTTTGTTGTCAGCATATTTCCAACCTTCCAGACCACAGCGCTCCACTGTGCTTTAGGAAGGCATGACAACCACAGCACAAAAGGCTGGGCGGTATTGCAGAGTTCATGCATAATAAGCCCTCTCTTGGCCTGCTTTGTTAACTCAGAAGGAAAGGTAACACCACTATGTGTGGAAAAATGATACATCAGATGCTGCTGGATCAAAACAACAGTGCTATCTGTCACTGCTTGCAAAGTAAACGAGCTGCCAAGCAAGGTCGGTCTTGCTATAACATTAAGTTTTCAGGTTGCATTCCTTGCCTTGGATAAGGCTGGTATCCTTTCCAGTGCACTCCTCCACCCAAATCATTTTCACAACTCAAAGCATTTTGAGCACCCATAACAGGAGCATAACAGGAATTTCAGGTTTGATATAGGCCCCAACATGCAGCATTAACAGAGAACCGGTAGTACCGACTACTGCTGTATGGTAGCTCAGTCATTTCTGACCAAGTTAATGGAGAACTGGTAATACCAACTAGTGCTGTATGGTAGCTCAGTCATATCTGTCACGGTTAACAGAGAACAGGTAGTACTGATTACTGCTGTATGGTAGCTCAGTCATTTCAATCAAGGTTAACAGAGAACCAGTAGTACCGACTACTGCTGTATGGTAGCTCAGTCATATCTGTCAAGGTTAACAGAGAACCGGTAGTACTGACTACTGCTGTATGGTAGCTCAGTCATATCTGTCAAGGTTAACAGAGAACCAGTAGTACTGACTACTGATGTATGGTAGCTCAGTCATACATGACTAACAGAAACAGTAACGAATAGTAATTAAATTAAATAAATAAAATCATTTTCACAACTCAAAGCATTTTGAGCACCCAGTGCAAGTCCCATTTAAAAATAAAAAAAACCTATTTACTTAGCATCAGAATCACTAAACAGGCACCAAAATGGGAAACAAATTATTGAGGAAAGGAGGATAACCAAGAACAAATGTAAGGCGAACATGGATGAGAAAGGTAAAAGGTGGTGGACTGGATTCCATCCCTGATATGGAAAATATTCAACAGGATACAACAGAATGGAGCAATAGACTGTGAGCCCTGTATGTCGCATAAACAGCACAACAGTAGTTATGGTAGTTATTTTTCATGATGCTTCTCATTACACATTTAAGGCTTTGTTTAGGGCATGTCATACTAAAAACAAAACAGAAACAAGGAAAATCCATTGGGGATTCAAACCTATAACCATTGGGCCAACTGAAATACTGTGACTCCAAGCAACGCATCATTTCATGAAAATATCTTCCAATGTTGCTCTTTCTAAATGACTATTGGTTTCAATTAACTTGTTCAGTCCAGAGCTGTTAAGTTAATTTCTTCCATTCCAAAGTGGTTACGCTTAAAAGCAGTAAATAGTTAGGTCTAAGGGGGTTCAACAAAGACACTATGAGACAGAAGACATTAACTAATAATCCAGATTCAAAGGGTAATAAGACAGCTGAAACATACGTGATATTATCTTTGGAATAGCAAATGAACACAGAGTGCTTTATTTGGTACTGAAGGAGTTAAATTTTCTATCATAAGCCAAGTTTTCTTTAATGCTTTGAATTATTAGAGTGCCAGTATTTTTCTTCTTCTTGATCCATAGAACTCTAAAAGAATATTTAAAAAGTCACTGAAAAATCATAAAAGATTTATTTTTCCTAAAAACATATTGGAAGAGAAGCCATTGGAAAAGTCTGAAAAAACTGAAGGAGTTAAAAAAAAGCTTCCCTATTTTTCTTCAATGGAAATTACAGGGAAACACAAAAGGCACTTTTATGCAAGTGATGCATTAAACTTATGATGTCAGATATTTTTTTATAGGCTAAACGACACTCCCATGGGTGATGTGGTCAACTGCTTACTGACCACCCTTACTTCCAAAGAAATTTTCCAGGTACCCATTTTAGACTAAGTCTTCTAGTTTCTTCTTCAGTGACCTCTGGTCATGTGCTTAATCTAATTTGGGCCATAAAATTGGATGACATCTCAACGTCTTTTAGGTTTCCCCAAAGCTTAGATGTCAGGTGTACTCGGTGTGGCCACAGGTTGCTTCGGAGATCCGCCAAGAGAGGACAGTCTTGCAGGGCATGTTCCAGAGTCTGTTCAGCACAAAGACTCTGGCAGAGAGTTGTTTGGCTCATACCTAGTTTATATGAGTGTTCGTTCTGGGAGCTAAGTGACCAATGCAGATTCAAACAGATGAATAAACAAACAAACTTTATTTTCAAAGGGTTCAAAATTGAGCATGCAGGCACAAACTTCATTCTACCCTTCTAATCTCTCTCCTTCTATCCATCATTTCATTCCATGCATCCAATAACAATAGTAGATGTTATCAACAGAAGCTAAATATTTATTCAACCATGTCCTGGAATTACACATACATTTCTAAACCAAAGTAACTGTAATAAATCTAAGGGACGCATAGACTATTAATCAAATTCTTTACTTCTAGGTTGGCGTTTGGGGATTATGTGACGTCAACATGCCTTCACAACACCGACATGTTGGGTTTGATCCTAGTTGCAGGCAATGTGGAAGCAGACCGCCCTGCACTGGTTTCGACAGTGGTATCAAAAGCCAATCACTTAAACCTTTTGAACTTAAATTTGCCTAGAAAAACAGCCCAAAAAAAAATATATTCAACGTCCTGTAAAGGACACACAACTAACTTTACTCCCAGGTCGTGTGTCAAATTTCAAAAGCAAGTAAAGGTTCACAGAGGGCACTTTTATGCAGGTGACGCATCAGACATGATGTCTGACATATATGTCAGAGGCCAGTCGGCACTCCCATGGGTGATGTGGTCACCATCTCACTGACCACCCTCACCCCATTAGAAAAGTACCAAGAGAGTTTGAGAAATGCCATCCTGGTTCCCAAATTTGATGAAAGGGAAAATCCCAAACTGCACCTCCAAGTGGACTAGGGTGGGAAACACACCATGGTGTGGCTAACGCAGATATGGGGACTGAGTACCCACCGGAATAAGTGGATCCCTCCCCAGCTGGGCAGAGAAGGGCACCCACTTGTCCTGACAGTCGGAAATTACTGTCAAAGGTGCAGGTTAAAATACCCCATGTGGATGTAGAAGGCAACGGGAAACCACCACATTATATTCCCAAGATATCTCATAAAAATTGGCAGGGCACATGATTATGAAGTAAATATACTCATTAAAAATGCCAACAATCGTTATGCTTACCCATCCCGCGTTTTCCCTTCAGGGCAAGACTGACACAAGGTGGCAGCACCTTGTGTAGTTTTAGTCACAGCAATGCTGTAAATCTTGACAAAGTTGTTCATTCTCAGTGTCCGAGTCTCATTGTCTGCTGAGCCAAATCCAAATTCATCAGGCTGGAAAACCCAGCTTAAAGCCAAAGACTCATTGGTGAAGATGTCATGACTGTGATAAAAATATATGCAGATGTGTTGTTATATGCATGTGAGATATGGACAATAAGTAGACAGGCTGAAAAACACTTACTACACAGAGACCATGGGGAATTATTAGAAGTTCAAGTCCACATGAAAAATCCCAGCCCTTACCGGGGATTGAACCTGGAACCTCTAGCACACCATGCCTCGAGACCACACAGCCCCCTCTATCATTTTTAATTACCCTGTATATTAGAACAATTAGACGTAGACAGAGTTTTCTGTACATGCTTTCATCATCACTTAGTTGGTTATCACTTTCATCACAGCTTATCTAAACAAACTTGATTTCTCGCCGGCTCTCTTGCCTCTTTCACTTTCCCAACCAAGGTTCACTACATACTGTGCCCATCTCCATGCTGGTGGGACTCCACTCCTCTTTCCTGGTATCGTCCCATCCAGTGCTGTTATTTCCAATCCATAGTGGTACTTCATATGGCCAAAATATGTCAATGTCCAAGACAAGATGCTGTTCACTAGCCACAGCCAATCTTCCTTGATGGTCAGATGATTTCATACAATATGTACATTTCCTAACCCTTTCAGTCACATGTGTTTACTCATGACCTTCCAACTGGACTTCAAAGCCAAACAGTTATCTTTTTTTTTCAAGCACAACCTCTTAGCTCATTTAGTACCAATGAACGCATTATGCGTTAAATGGTTACTTCTGATAAGACATTGCTCTTAACTCTTCGTAGTCCGTCTATGTGTAACATTGACACCTTTATATCCCATTTGTTTCTTGAACCACCCATTTTTCATATTATTATTATCTGAACTAGTTTACATTCAAGTATTTTATTAGTTTATAGCAACAACTGCAGAGAAAATAATAAGCTAACGAAACACTGCATGACTACTGAACATAAAATTTGCCTGACAATACCCAAAAAACAAATATATTTTTGTGTATCCTTTACACAACATTGCAGAATCAACCTAAATATTTTTTTGTGGGCCTGTTTGTGATTTCACTAGACTATTTTGTGTTCTGCAGTTTGCCACTGCTTACTGAATGGTCAACTCTCGATACCACTGTCAAAACCAATGTAAAGTAGTCTTTTGCCAAATCGCTCACTGCTGGGATCGACCATGGCATTTTGGTATTACAAACCATGTTCACAACATCTAAGCTACAGACTCAGATAGAATGATACTATGGTTCTATGGAATCTTTTGTTTTCAACAAAACAAGACAAACAAACACACAAAAACTGCAGAATGACACCATGACAGGAAAAAACATGGAGAATCACACTATACCCTAAAAACAACCGGAGAATGACACTATGTCCAACAACAACAACAAAAAATGAAGATTGACAGTATGCCATAAGCTAATTAAAGAACACATCTGATGCATCTACCTGTATAACTTTCTTGGACTGGTTTCATACCAAGACTGAATGACTGTACTTCCACCTGTGGCATTCTGGGTGACAAAATAGTGGTTACAAAAGTGCAAAATTATAAGAGAGGTTCTCCTACTAAAAACAAAATTCTTACATCTTCTTCTTTTGTCGTCTCACTGATACCAGGTTGTAGCCCAGTGTCCTGGTTTTCTGCATTTGTTTTGTGCTTCTCGGGTGCAATGGGTGGAGGATTTATTCATCTTTTTACAGGTTTCTTGGTCTTCATCTCACCTTTCTCCCAAATGTTCTGTTGTAAAATCTCTCAAATGCAGTTTGGTCTGGCTGCATTCTCCCTAGATGGTCGAACCATTTCAACCAAACTTCCTACAATAGATGGTTTCATAATTATGAAGCAGGTCCTTTGCAGAATGTAGCTCTCCTCACAGACTGCCTGAAAGAAACACTCTCTTGCCAGCCCTCCCACCTTGTGCACTTTCCTCTCGCCTGCTTCATCCCTTTATTTCCAACTGTAATGCCTGTTTGGTGATCAGGAACCACTGATTTAATACATGTAGTACTTACTTACCAACAGCTCACAGAAGCTAGCTTCGGGCTTCAGAAAGTAGGTATCTGAGAAAGGAGGTCCAAGTGAAGGGAAGGGACAAAGTCCTCAATCAGACAATATGTCATGGCTTTGAAACGCATGCCCTACAAACTTGAGTGGATCAGTCAGTTATGGTGGTTTTGACATGTATGCAGAATGGCAAACTTCTACACCCCAAGGCAGAAGAGAAGTGACTAAGTAAGTAAGTACTTACTGACATAAACATAAGCTGGCAGGCTGTGAGACATTTTATTTCCATGTCAAAGGTCACTGTGCTGAGTGCGATAGGTTTGCCACCTACAGTGCCAGGTTGACCGGGAAAGCCTGCAACCTTAAGCTGAAGAACAAGGAAATCACTGTGGTCACTGAGACCAAAGACTGTTCTCAGATGGTCACCTGAAGGTATCCATCCAGCAGTTTTGGTGCAGATGTCCACTGCAAAAAAAAAAAAAATTATTATTATTATTATTAATATCATAGCAACAACAATAATAATATTGTTGGGTATGAGAGGTAGAGCAGTTTCACCCATATTGTGGAGCGTACGTTGAGTGGGAAGCCAAGGTCTGAACTGTTGATTTGCACCCAAAGGACCTTGATAACATCTAGCTTGTCATGCATCAATTTACAACTAAGTGGTGCCTTAATAAAAATATTATCAACAGAATGGATTCAGAACATTAAGGACCAAGATTTGTAGACGGAAATAAAGAGCTATGACATCTGGCATGGTACATGATGATAACTTCTTCTTATAGTCTCTGCAGTGTGGCATTGGTAGTCATGTCTCTCAACAACCTTCTGCCTCATGTACTTCAATCACTTCCGATACAGATATTACATGTCATGTCAAACTGTCCAGCATCTTCTCTCTTAATCTCCCTCTGTTTCTTTTCCCTTTAACTTTCCTATCATTAAGATATACTTCAGTTTTTTCCTTCTCATGACATGATCAAAGTATATAGATTGTCTCTTTCTCAAGTGGGTAATCATTTATCTTTGTGAGTTAATTTCTTTCAAGACACCTTCAAAAGACTTTTGATTTATCCTTGGTGTTCTCATAAATTGTCTATACAAATATTTATCTGCAGCTTGCATATAATAATGATAATTACTATCAAACACACAGAGAACTATAAAGGAAGAATCTAGTACTTTTGCCTTGACTACAAGTAGTCTGACTATGGTAGTAACTAAAAAAATAACTTGGCTGGAGACACAGACCTTCACTCAGGCATTTCTAAAGGAAGAATCTAGTACTTTTGCATTGACTACAAGTAGTCTGACGAGACACAGACCTTCACGCAGGCATGTTTTCTGAGTGACTCCAGTGAGTATGCTCAGGAAGACAGAAATGTGCTGGGTCCAAAGACAGTGGCAGGTGTCTCTGAGGCGGTCACGGCTCACAAAGATCAGTTAAATTTGTGTGCCAGGGCACACAGGTGTACAAGGAAATGAGCAACTTGATAAGCTTGCAGGTAAGGCTACTGTGAAGGGTGGACAAGCCATGGACTAGGCTGATATACTGAATGCACTATAAGAAGTAAGGCATTTGCGGGAGCCTAGTGATGACTGTGAATCTGAAACCATGATCAAACTGCAAAAACAGCAAGTTAAAAGAGGTGTGGATGGACAAAAGCACTATGCAGGTAAACCATGATCAGACCGCAAGAACAGCAAGTTAACAGAGGTGTGGATGGACAAGAGCACTATGCAGGTAAACCATGATCAGACTGCAAGAACAGCAAGTTAACAGAGGTGTGGATGGACAAGAGCATCAAGTTAACAGAGGTGTGGATGGACAAGAGCACTATGCAGGTAAACCATGATCAGACTGCAAGAATAGCAAGTTAACAGAGGTGTGGATGGACAAAGCACTACGCAGAAAACCTAAGACAAATTATAAACCAACAAAGAACTGGTGTTTTCAGCTGCTAAACACTGTGGACATTTAAGGAGGAGATCTCTGCCATTATGGGCCAAATGGTTCGATGTGTAATGAGAATGATCAGTCAACCAATCAACTAACTGACCAACTAACTAACTGAGAGGAACTTACTTCCAGTGAGAAGACAGCGGGTGATCATGTCTGGAGGCATCACATCCCAGTACCTATAGTCTATGTGGTAGTTAGGCGACGTTGATGCTGGGCAGTTATGGCAGGTACCAAGAGGATCTGTCAACCACAGAAAGATCATCTCGTCAAGTTAGCCACCAACCAAGTCAATAGTTCTCAAATACGCATGCCTCTTCTTCTTTTTTTTGTCGTTTGTTGTCTCCCTGATACCTGTTTGTAGCCCAGTATCATGGTTTGGTGTATTTGTCTTGCGTTTCTCGCTTGGCGCAGGTGATGGATTTGTTCATCGTTTTTGCAGGTTTCAACTACACACATATATATATATATATATATATATACACACATATATATGCGATTTTACTCTTGTTAGTTTGCTTTAAAGTAAAAGTAAAGTTTAAAAGTATATAATTCCCAATAACATGCCCCCAAAAATTTGATTATTTTTCAGGTATTATAGACCACAATGTATGAGGCAATGTGACCTGTTCTGCTTCTCAGTGTCTGTCCTACTCAGACCATCCCTAGAAAAATATCCGTTGCTTATTCTTACTTCTGTCATTATGGCTGATACGTGGGTTTACTGTTATTAGTCATGGCAAATGTCTGCTTCTGATAATAGTTAGCCACTGAATTTTCCTCCATAAATAGACTGAAGGACTATACTTCCGTCACTCAGCTAATGAGTTATTTCCTGGAGAATTTTCTAATACTTATTATAATCATGGTTCCCCATGTGGGTTCTGGGGCCCCATTGTGGGGAAAACAAGAATAGACTGACTGCCTCCCCAACAAGCATGTTGTAAGAGTTGACTAATTGGGGTTTCCTTCAAAGTCGGAGTGCATCAGCCTGAGAGGCAATGAACCAGCAGCCTGCATCCAAATAAGTCAGATTTGTCAAATGGATGTGCATACAACACTCGGGTTCTGGAACAAGTCTAAAGTCCAGAGGTGGATGAAAAACCAGAACTTTCTGCTGGAGTTTTCAGCCAGTTAAAGAAAAGAAAAAGATTAGCATAGTAACCAGTAAATAGCTAAGTAAAACATTTCAAGTACCTGCAAATTGGTTTGGCTTACAGAAACCGCAGTGAGAAGCATTCAGTTTATGCATGCCAGGATTACAAGGAAGACACTCTACCAGAGGTCCATCTTTAGGTAACCTTACAGAGCCACTGATTTTAGCATTACAGGTTTGAGGCTCAACCCACCGATAACTTCTCTGTGTCTGAAAGAGATCAAGACAATAGAATATGTCAGACATATAATATATCAGTTGGATGTCTGCTTTGTCTTCTTTGTGCTCACTAGCTGTAAACGCCAGGGGTTAGCCCTAGTTCAAGGCTGTTAAACTAAGTTTACTCAGGGGGTAAACTTTGAAAATGGGTATCGTCATGGGCCAGAGGCTAAGGCTCCAACATAGAAAGACCATTAACACAGTAAGACTGGCGATGATCCAAGGACCACTTGCTAGGTCTCCTGCATGCCATATCTGGCTCATGGGCCGCCAGTTGAACAGCCCTGCCCTAGTTGTTCACCCACTTCTGGACTCAGGTCTTGTTCCCAGACTTCAATTTTATGTGCATTTCCATTTTACAGGTCTGGCTTATTTACATGCAGACTGTTGGTTCCTTATACACTCTGGTTTTGAGGGAAATGTTGATCCTATCTACAGCGGTAAATCTGCAAAGGTATGCACCTGTAATAAGATCTAACAGCTTCTCAAAAAACAATTCTACAGAGCTCAGTAGAGGTAGACCAAAAAAAGACCTGGTTACATAACTTGATGGATTGGACAGGCCTTGGGCATGCAACCATAGAGTCCATTGCATCTGAGCATCAAAGGTGGATGTAGCTGATCAGACAGTCAACAGAAACTGGTGACCCAATGATACACAGTGCTTTGGGATGATGATAATGATCTATGTCTGCCAGGCCCTCTGTAAGGAACAAGTTTCTAGGATGACCGTGTAGATAGGTCCTGAGAAGTTTTTTCCTGACCATGTTTGGTTCAGCACCAAACCATCCTGTTGAACATCTAATGTTCTATGTCTGGAAGAGGCTAATGAACACAGAACATTATAAATAATACTCTTCTCTTCTTCTTCATAATCTCTAGACCCTCTTCTGTCTTTCAGCATCAGGCTTTGAAGAGGCACTGGTGTAAACCTTGGTGTAGGCTATATAGATGTTGGTATTCACCTGGTGTAAACCTTGGTGTGGGCTATATAGATGTTGGTATTCACCTGATTTAAACCTTGGTGTGGGCTATATAGATGTTGGTATTCACCTGGATGTAAACCTTGGTGTGGCCTGTATAGATGTTGGTATTCACCTGGTGTAAACCTTGGTGTGGGTTATATAGATGTTGGTATTCACCTGGTGTAAACTTTGGTGTGGGTTATATAGATGTTGGTATTCACAGGCTTGGATTTTCCATCTATCAATCTCTTGCATGGGCGACTGCTTGCTCTGCTTTCATTGTGTTCAAGTGACAGGGCTCTTTGGGGGTGCACTATCTTGTGTAAGTCTTGACACATGTCTGAACCATTTGATCCTTTGTCTCTTGATGTTGTTTAGCACTGGTTCCATCTCAACATGTTGTCTGATATCATAATTTCTGATCCAGTTATCTTCTTGTTACATTTAAGATTCATCATAGACATTTAATTTCTTTTGTTTCAATTTTTCTTTTTTCCTTGTGTTGTTAATGTTGGTATTGTTAACACAGTGTTGTTAATGTTGGTATTGTTAACACAGTGTTGTTAATGTTGGTATTGTTAACACAGTGTTGTTAATGTTGGTATTGTTAACACAGTGTTGTTAATGTTGGTATTGTTAACACAGTGTTGTTAATGTTGGTATTGTTAACACAGTGTTGTTAAGAATAATGTTCTGAATAGTGCTATTCTGGTATCAATTTATACATAGTTATTCGTCCCTATGTGGGATGCAATTTTTCCTTATTTGAAGCCCAACCCCGGCTTTTGCCCGGGGCCCTGAATATAGCCGGGCCATAAATATGGCCTAACGGCTGAAAGGGGTCTCTGGGACCTCCTCCACGGGTGATTCTCATCCGCATGGTGCACTTGTGTCACCAGGTGTTTATCGCTTGTCTGATGTCCTAGTGGGGTACAACAAGAGAGAGAGAGAATTGTTACATGTTTGTTCTGCAATAATGGTGACATCTGTCCAATGATGTGATTTCCTCTGTTACATCTGTCTTCTCTCTCTGCTTTCCTTTTTCTACTCCATCAGCACTTGAAGTCTGAAAAACATTATAAACTACCCCAAAAAAATACTAAAATATAAACACTGTTTTGCGGTCTTGCATGAAAATGTATTTTTTTATACTCACCTTTTGATTCATCAGAATTCAGAGTATTTGTTTGGTTCTCTCCCAAACTTCTGCATGAGTGTTATACTATTTAAAACCTTATATTCTGTGCAAAGAAAGAGAAAGTTACAAAGAATATCATTGGAATAAAAGAAATTTACATGAAGTAGCCCTCCTTGAGACAGATGAAAACCATAAACTGCTAAGAGAAATAAGAAGTAGATAATCAATACCAGGGGATCTAGCCAACGCTCAACACTCAGGGGAAGGATGAGACCGAAATACAATCAGACAGTTACTGGTACCATCGGAATTGGAATTCTTCACTTGCTGCTGAAGATGGGGACTGAGCACTTATGTGAGTGTCCCAAGTGCTGTGATGTCAATTCTTAATTCAACATTCAACATATTTTTTGGACATGTTATGAGAGGGAAAGGACTGGACAACCTGGTGACAACTGGCTAGAGTGATGGAAAGAGAGCAAGCAGAAGTCAGAGAGATAAATATCTTGTTGGCTTGGCCAAGTGAATAGGGAGAGGCAAAAGCACTGACCTAATCATTGATTATGGTGATCATTTGGGATGGTGAAACATGACTGCCTACTTTATTCTGCAAGGCATATGTTGATGATGATTCTGTGCAAGTATGAGGTAATGAATGTATCTATTTTAGGAGTAACCCTTTTAGCCATTCTCCATACTTCTGCTCTACACAGCAGAAATAATTGGACAAATGGTTAAGAATGTTGAGATCTCATACCCAGATCTGAATCCTCCGTAAGGTCATGGCATTTTTTTTTCTGTCAGGAGGGAAACTGGAATCCTAACCAGCACAGTCTACGGTGATAGCACTAGCCATGCGGCCTTAAATCCTCATGCTCAGAGATTCCCTACCCTCCACCCCTTTGCATACACTGCAAAAGTGGTAAATACAGGTAGCAACTGGCCACTTTGGAAGTTAAATATTGTAAGTTTGGTTCCTGGTTTAGTTTATGTTGACTTCCACAGAATATTATTTTCACTGCAAGTTATTTAGCAAGATGTGATGGTGCACCAGGAGGAGAGCTCATACTGGTCGAGCCCTGCCTACACCTCTCTGTGGTCATCCTAGAAACATGTTCTCAACCGGAGGGCCTGGCCAATGTAGACAGGATCGACGTTTCCTTCGAAGGTGGAGTGCATCTACCTGAAAGTTGAGGGACCACGAGTCTGCATACACATAAGCCTAATCTGCAAGATGGATGTTCACATAAAATTAAAGTCCTGGAACAAGACCAATGTCCAGAAGTGGATGAACAACCAGGTCTTTCTGCCTGAGTTGTCAGCCAGTAAAAAAAAAAAAAAAAAGATTTGGCAACATCAATCTTACCTTTCCATTACTGCAAGGTTTCTGATAAGCAAAGTAGTCAAACTCGGTGCATGGTGGGCGAGGTGAACACTGAGCTGATCCGGGAGCTAATTAAACAAATCATAGTTACTTTATTACCCATTTAATTGATCATATTCTTGTTATTGTGCACGTAAGTAAAAGTAAAGTTTTCAGTTTATTACTCATAATACGCTACCCAAAATATACTGACTGTTTTTTTAATACATCTTACATAATCTGAGCATTGAGGAGAAATGGCTGATAAACAGCATCCTGTCCCAAAAGCTGGAGTATTATGGTCATTTCATACTCATGGTGGCCTGGATAGAGTTGTGATGGGACTTTCAGTCCCAGGATGTTTAGCATTAGAGGCCCAAAAGATAACCAAAGGAGATGTAAAAACAGCGCATCTTGCGTTCATTGGGTTTCTAGGTTCCGACCCTATGAACACATGATGCGTTTCTTGGGACCGAGAGAGTTAAGGTGAGTTAAAGTGCTGGATGTTCCTTATCTTCTGCGACATTTTTAGCCTCACGGTCACTCAAGATCACACAAAACTTTAAACTTTTCTGAACACTTTCAGACATCACACATGTACATCCATTAAATACTTCATGTATTATCAAAACTTGTAAAACCTAGCAATCATTCATGATGACCCTGTATATTTTTCATATATATTCTTTATATTCTGCCTTGCTAACCTGGAGGACATCTCATCTTCCTACAACTTTTCTTTACTGGTTGGTATGACGGCAACAGTGGTTCATACACAAGCCTGCCAAGACAAAGGTCTGAGTTCAATCATAAGCAAAGACAGGATTATTTTTTTTTTGCCCAAACCAGTATGAGTCTCTGAGGGTTGACACTGCCTCATGAAAATGAATAACAGAGAACTTTTTGGCAAACTGACTTTTTCTTATAGCCTATGATGCACCTAGAACACTGACATCCTACATAAGCTGAACTGAACATCAAAGAGAACTGGCTCATAAACAGCATCTTGTCCATAAAATATAGCTATTTTGGCTATGACTAACACCACGGTAGCATGGATAGAATGGTGACAAAGGGTATAGTTTCAGGAAAACGAGGCAGAGGCAGACCTCCATGAACATGGATGGAAAACACTGGAGATACACTGGTTATGAAAGCACATACAGGTGGAGAACTGTCTAGAGAAAGAGTCCTGCTGGTGTGCCGTGACAAGAGTGACTTTCTGTAAAGGACTTGCTTGTTGATGATGACGATGATGATTGTGTGACAACATGGTTTACCTGAATATTCAGACGGCTGACAGGCCTGGCACTGAACAGCACCATGCAAAGAGAAGTAGTCAGCTGGACACATTTGGCAAAATGATGCTCCCCCACTGCTGTAAGTGCCACTGGTGCATTTTGTACACTCAGATGTGTAGGCAACTCCTGAACATCAAAAAAACTCAACTGATCAATTTCCCAAAATAACTGTAAATTTTAACAAAGAAGACAAACTAAAGCTTGCACAATTTATTGCCTATAAT